GATGGTTTCCCTTCCTGGAGATCCATGGCGGTTTTCGGATGCCCCCTGCTCCTTCCCTCCTGCTCTCTGCTCACGCTACTGCCGCAAGAGGTCGGATCGCAAAGTTGGAGCACGCCCGCAGCGATCTATGGCCCAATTCCCAGCACAGTGCTTGTGCCTATGGGGCTCTTCTCTATGGTCCAAGGAGCCGGGCGGCGGTACCAGTCTGGCGGCGGTGTGGCAGCCGTCGCCGCAGCCGTCGCCGCCCCGTCGCCGGGCGGCGGTGCCTCTCCGGCGGGTGTGCGGCCGCCGTCGCCGCCCCGTCGCCGCTTCGTCGCCGCCCCGTCGCCGCCCGCCGTTTGGGCACTGCGCTGCAATCGCCTGGCACTGCACTGCACTGCGGTCGCATGGCACAGCAAGCGCATCGCTTTGCACTGCGCTGCTTGGCATTATCACGTTTACACTGCCTTGCGTCGCTCTGCACTGGTTTGCGCTGCTTCGCCCTGCAGTACATGGATTGTCGTTGCTTTCCCTGCGTTGCTGTGCGTTGATTTGCAGGGATGTGCGTTGATTTGCCTTGCGTTGCATTGCTTTGCGTTGCATTGTTTGGCATCTCTTTGCGATGATCTGCGATATTATTCCCGACCCTCCTGCGTTGGGTTCTCGTTTTGAATAGAGCACTGCGGTCGCACACCTTCATCCCGCTCCCTCCCCCCTTCGCTCCTGTCTCTCACCTCGCTCCTTCCTGCGTGCCAGCTTGCCTCCTACCTGGCCGCCCCTGGAGGGCTGCGATCTGCGAATCTGTCACCAGTCTCGAGGGCTGCTGGGAGGTCCAGCGGAGTGACGTTTTACGCGGACTCTCACTAAACCTCGTCATCCCTGGGTGGCTGCGATCTGCGAAACTGTCGCCACCTTCGAGGGCTGCTGGGGGGTCCAGCGGGGTGACGTCGAATCCAAGTTCAAACTAGACATCGCCATCCCTGGGGGGCTGCGATCGGCGGAACTGTCGCCACCTTCGAAGGCTGCTGGGGGGGGTCCAGCGGAGTGACGTCTTACCCAGACTCAAATTGCCCCTCGCCATCACTTAGGGGGCTGCGATCTGCGAAACTGTCGCCACGTTCGAGGGCTGCTGGGGGGTGCAGCGGAGCGACGTCGCACGCGGACTCAAATTTGACCTCGCCATCACGTGGGGGGGCTGCGATCTGCAAAATTGTCACCACTTTCAAGGGCTGTTGGGGGGCCCAGCGGAGTGACGTCTTACGTGGACTCTCACTAAACCTCGCCATCCCTGGGGGGCTGCGATCAGCCAAACTGTCGCCACCTTCGAGGGCTGCTTGGGGGTCCAGCGGAGTGACGTCTTACCCATATTCAAATTAGACATCAGTGGAGGGCTGCGATCGGCGAAATTGTCGCCACTCTAGATGGCTGCTGGGGGGTCCAGCAGAGTGACGTCTTACCCAGACTCATATTGCCCCTCGCCATCCCTGGGGGGCTGCGATCTGCGAAACTGTCGCCGTTTTCGAAGGCTGCTGGGGGTCCAGCGGAGCGACGTCGTACGCGGACTCAAATTAGACCTCGTCATCACGTGGGGGGGGGGGCTGCGATCTGCAAACTTGTTGCCACTTTCAAGGGCTTCTGGGGGGTCCAGCGGGGTGACGTTTTACGCTGGCTCACACTAAACCTCGCCATCTTTGGGAGGCTGCGATCTGCCAAACTGTCGCTTCCTTCGGGGGCTGCTGGGGGGTCCAGCGGAGTGACGTCTTACGCGGGCTCACGCTAAACCTCGCCATCTTTGAGGGGCTGCGATTTGCAAACATTGTCGCCATTTGCGAGGGCTGTTGGGGCTCGCCATCCCTGGGGGGCTGTGATCTGCAAAATTGTCGCAAAGTTCGAGGACTGCTGGGGGGGTCCAGCGGAGCGACGTCTTACCCAGGCTCAGATCAGATTTCGTCATCCCTGGGGGGCTGCGATCTGCGAAACTGTCGCCATTTTCAAGGGCTGCTGGGGGGGGGGTCCAGCGGAGTGACGTCTCGGAGTGACGTCCTACCCAGTTGCAGGTGAGACTTCGCCAGCCTTGGGAGGCTGCGATCTGCGAAACACTCGCCATTCTCGAGGGCTGCTGTGGGGTCCAGCAGAGTGGCGTCTTACCCAGATTCCATCAAATCTCGCCATCCTTTGGGGGGCTGCGATCTGCGAGACCGTGGCCACTTTCGAAGGCTGCTGGGGATCCAGCGGAGCGAAGTCGTACCCACATTGCAATTCTACCTCGCCATCCCTGGGGGGCTGCGATCTGTGAATTTCTCGTCCCCTTCGAGGGCTGCTGGGGGGCCAGCGGGGCGACGTTTCACGCGAACTCAAACTACCACTCGCCATCCCATCCGTGGGGGGCTGCGATCTGCGAAACTGTCGCCACCTTCGAGGGTAGCTGGGGGGTCCAGCGGAGTGACGTCGTACCCATATTGAGATAAAACCTCGCCAGCCCTGGGGGCCGCGATCTGCGAAACTGTCGCCACTTTCGAGGGCTGCTGGGGGGTCCAGCGTAGTGACGCACTGCGCAGATTCAGATTCGACACCACTCTTGGGGGTTGCGACCTGCGAAAGTGTCGCCACTTTCGAAGGCTTCTGGAGGGTCCAGCGGGGCGCTGTCGCGGGCCGCCCGCAGACCTGGCCGCGCGCCTTGGAGCGTTTACCGCCCGCATTGAAGGTGCAGTAAGGATGCAGGGAAGCTGGCGGGCGAGCTAGGCCTCGCTCGCTTCTCGCATTAAAGATCAGCAGGTTTAATCACTTTGTCAAGCGCGGCGGCGACATGGCGCAGGCAACGCTGCATCTTTAGCGCGCTACCGACAAAAGCAACACTCTCTGGCCTCCTCCCGTCACTTTCGTCGTCGTCCTCTGCCCCCTGCCACCTTCCCTCTGCTGCTGCCGCGCTGACGGTTCGGCCCCCCACGCGTCCTTCTCTTGTCATTCGCTCCCGCCCCCGTGTCCTCCTCAAGCCTGGGACTTCGCTCCTCGTCCTTCTGTCGTTGTCCTGTGATTCGTGCCGCGTGAGCGCATCCCATATAGCTTGCACAACATATAACGGCGCCTGCGCTGTCATTGTTTGGGCAGATGTGGGTCAACTCGTCTTGTCGTTTGATGCAAAGGGGCTGGGTACGTCGCAGGGTAATTTGGTGGTCTTTGTTCCTTCCTGCCACGGAGAGCCCCGGGTTCCTCCGACCATTCACTGGTCAAACACGCGGGGCTATGCCGACGAGACCAGCGGATTTTTCAGCTCCCCCCCCACCGCCCGAGCGACAGGAACAAGTATTCCTTCCTTCCTTATGTACACACAGTCACACATATACACGCACACACGCACACTCATACATATACATATATATATATACACATGTATGTATATGTATATGTATATATACATATATATATATACATATATATATATATATATATATATATATATATATGTATCCTTGGGCACGCGGCAGGAGGGCCCTGGAGGGCCCCCCCTGGCTGCGCATGGTAGAACCGGGCCGCCAGGGTTGCCCCCAGACGGCCCAAGACAGCACAAACACATATGAAAAAGGCCGCGAGAGGGCTCGGTATGAGGACATATCGCTCGAACACGCCCAAGATGACCTCCAAATGGCCCAAAAAGATTTCCAACACGGCCCAAAAAGATTCCAACACTCTTCCAACGGCCTGAAGAAGCCAAAATCATTGACTTTCCTATGGTTTTGTTTGTAGATTTTAGCGTTTATGCCTTTTGAACTTCCCGACGTACCCACATATCGTCCAAATTGGTTCCCACGAGGGAGCCGAGACGGCCCAGGGACGCCCCCTCACGGCCCAAGACAGCCCCAACACAGATGAAAAGGGCCGCAAGAGGGTTCCAAGATGGCCACAATCGCGGAAATATCCCTCGAGCGCGTTCAAGATGGCCTCCAGATGACCCACAAGGTTTCCAACACGGCCCAAGGTGTCTCCAAGAGCATTCCTTCAAGAGCCCCAAGAAGCCAAAATCATAAATTGTCCTACGGGTTTTTGGTAGATTCTAGCGCGTCTGCCTGTTCAGCGTCCCGACGCTCCAAAACTGTCCGGGACACCCACATATCATCCAAACAGGCTCCCACGAGAGCGCCGAGCCAGCCCAGGGACGCCCCCTCACGGCCCAAGACAGCCCCAACACAGATGACAAGGGCCGCAAGAGGGTTCCAAGATGGCCACAATCGTGGAAATATCGCTCGAGCGCGCTCAAGATGGCCTCCAGATGACCCACAAGGTTTCCAACCCGGCCCAAGGTGTCTCCAAGAGCATTCCTCCAAGAGCCCCAAGAAGCCAAAATCATAAATTGTCCTACGGGTTTTGGTAGATTCTAGCGCGTCTGCCTGTTCAGCGTCCCGACGCTCCAAAACTGTCCGGGACACCCACATATCATCCAAACAGACTCCCACGAGGGCGCCGAGCCAGCCCAGGGACACCCCCAGACGACCCAAGACAGCCCCAACACAGATGAAAAGGGCCGCAAGAGGGTTCCAAGAGGGCCACAATCGCGGAAATATCGCTCGAACGCGCCCAAGATGGCCTCCAGATGGCCCACAAGGCTCCCAGCACGGCCCAAGATGTCTCCAAGAGCATTCCCAAAAGGTCCTGAAGAAGCCACAACCATTGATTTCCTTACGTTTTCGATGGATTTTCCCGTTTCTGCTTGTTCAGTTTCCCGACGCTCCAAGACGGTCTTGGACACCCAAACATCGCCCCAACAGGCCCACACGAAGACGCAATGGACGACTCACGAAGACGCCGAAACGACCCCACGAAGACGCCGAAACGACCCAAACGTCCTGCATGATTTCAGGGGTCGTTTGAGGTCTCCTGGGAGGTTCGGGAGGTCGTTGGAGGAGAGTTCAACAGACGAGGGAAGCAAGTCCTCAATGACTTCAGCTGGAATCGGCGGGTCGTCCTCGTCTGCCGACGAGAGCAGCGAGTCCTCAATGATTGTTAACACGTTCGTCCGATGCCACTTTTGGCTCTAGCATCAGGTTCGCGCACAGTCGGTCCTGTGGACAAGCACCAATTTCTTCTAATAATTTCTTATTATAAGTTATTATACCCCCGCGTCTGAAGAGATGTTCGGAGTCTTGCGGCGGCCAGCCGTTCCTTTGGTCCTTTTTAAGTGTTGTTTATGCTCATGGAGGTTGGTGATCGGCAAAACAATCGTTCGTCACGTCTTCCACCTCTCTGAATTCTTCGCCGACCCGGATGGTATCGAGGTCCTGGTTGCAGGCATCAACCAGGAGGTGAACGCACCGACGATCGAGGTTCACCGGGGTGACCAGTTGCAGATCGAGGTCCAGAACGGGCTCCATGTACCGATCAGTTTCCACATGCATGGCCTCGAGTACAGGAGCGAACCTTTTATGGACGGCGTAGCAGGCCTGACGCAGTGTGCGATCGCGCCGAATCACACTTTCCTGTATGACTTCAGCGTGCAAGATTATCCTGGCACCTATTGGTACCATCCGCACACAGACTTGTCGCACCTCAGCTCCATTGATTCGATGAAAGGCGTGCTCATTGTCCACCCACCTCTGGGGTCGAACGAGCTGCACCACGATCTCTACCACGAGGAGATGGTGCTGTTCTACACCGACTGGTGGCACCAAAGCCAGCACGAGTTGTACATGGGGCGCCTGGGTGGCCAGCTCGGGCCAGTGACCACTGATGCCGATGGGATACGTGTTGGGACGTTCCCCTACCAGGGCATGCTCCTGAACGGGCGGGGTGGTGCATCAGTGGCCCCCCTCGCCATGCAGCCTGGGAGCCGCTACCGCCTTCGGGTCATCAATGGTGGGTGGGTGTTCCCGATCGAATTCTCAGTCGACGGCCACGCCCTGCTTGTCATCCAGACCGACGGGGCCGACACCGAGCCCCTGGAGGTGGACAGCATCCAGATCAGCAATGGGGAGCGCTACGACGTCGTCCTCGTCCGGCGGAGTGAGGCTTGCCAGATGCTCGCTTGGGGGATCTGCCTGGGGCCCACCCAGCGGATATGTTCGACCCCAGTTCGACTCAGGTTCGACTCAGGTTCGACTCAGACTCGACTCACGACCGGCTCGAGTCGACGGACATTCGACGCAGCTCCGACGCAAGCGCGGGGCGAGTGGCTCCAGGAAGGTCCCCAGGGTGAGCAGCCAAAGGCCTGCGCATCCCGAACGAGCTTCTGGGTCCGCGCCGCGGCCCTCGGCGCGATGCCGCAGGGGGGCCTCTCGACCGCGCTCCACCTGGGCGAGGCGGGGCCGCCCGAGGAGTGCCCGGTGGCAACTCATGGGAGCCTGGTCGCCGGCACGATCCGATCGGGTCATGGAGATTGTGGCCGTCTGGGAGGAGGAGGGGGAGGGGGAGGGGGAGGAGGAGGAGGAGGAGGAGGAGGAGGAGGAGGAGGAGGAGGAGGAGGAGGGAGGAGGAGGAGGAGGAGGAGGAGGGTGGGGAGGAGGAGGAGGAGATCATGGATCCGTGGGCCGATCGGATCCTGATTGAGCGTCTGGGAGTGGATGAGGTAGCGCCGCTCTCGCGTCGGTTAGCAACGACTCAGCGTCGATTGAGCGTCGACTCGCAAGGGCCGACAAGATGGTAATTACGGGAGGTTCTCATGAGTTGCCACAGAAGGAGTGCCCTCATCAGAACCCAAAGACGCTGAACTGCGTGTGGGACCGCAGCCGGCCTCGCAGCGGGTGTTTGCTTTTGACTGCGTTGCGGAGGCATGCGCGTGCTGGAGAGACCTACGGTTGGGACCATGGTGCTGCTGGAGAGGTCGTCGTCGTCGTCTTCGTCGCCGTCGCTGTCGCCGTCGCGCCGCCGTCGCCGTCGCCGCTGCCGCCGTCGCCGCCGTTGCCGCCGCCGCCGTCTTTGTCGCTGCCGCCAGCAGGGGGATATCGTGATGCACACCATCGATGCAAGGTTCACCTCACCACCGAACTTCGGCCACTTTGTGAAGCTTGACGGGGCAGACCAGACAGGCGATGCGTGGACGGCAGATGAGTTTTTCTCGGGCCAATGGGTCCAGGGAGCCTTGCCCAATCTGCCCCCCATGATTCATGGTGAGGACCACCTGACGCCAGCCACGGTCACGCTTACCGCGGTGAGCGGCACGATCGTGGAGTTGCTACTCAGGAATGTCGACAAGTACGCACACCCATGGCACATGCATGGCCACAAGTTCGTGGTCATGGAGCAGGCCGCTGTGGACTTCGCATCGTGTTCCATCATGTATTGCTTCGAGGGCATACCCGGGAATTCCAGGTCCTCCGCCGCGCATGCGCAGACGGCGGTGCTCAAGGACACAGTGACGATCCCGGCAGGTGGCTGGTTGCGACTCAGATTCCAGGCTGACAACCCAGGCTGGTGGATCTTCCACTGCCACATCCACATGCACCTCTCCGACGGCATGGGCTTGGTCATCTATGAGCCTGGGCCCGTCGGGTACGAGTTTCCCGAACCACCGTCCGACCTTCTGACTTGCGCCCCGTCGCCTGAGCCCACTACCTGCACGTGTTTCGAAGACAGCGACGCCGTCATGGGCACGTCGCCACTGTCTTCGTACACTTGCTCGCGAAAGTGGCTCTGCGCTGGCGACTCCAGTCTGTTCCTCGGCTTGCCCAGCACCACGCAGTCACGGTCGCGCGACCTCGCTGCTGGGCGTGCTTGGCGCTATTCGGTGGCCGTTGTGTGGTTGCTGCTGCTGCTGTTCGGTGGCATCATTCAGCTGCCTGCGGCAAGTCCCGCCACCGTGCCAACCAAGCATTGTGGCCACTCTTGGGGGGGGCATGGGAGGCCGCCACACGTGCCACTTTGTGTCTCCAGCATTGGGAGAGCTGCGACGATGATGATGCTGATGATGGTGATGATTGGGAGCTACATGATGTTGACGATGGTACTGATGGTGATAGGCATGCTGATAATACGGCGGAAGATGATGATGCTGATGAGGATGGTGTCGGTGATGATGATGATGATGATGATGAGGATGATGATGATGATGCTGATGATGCTGATGATGTTGTTGATGATACTGAAGATGTTGATGATGACGATGGCGCTGATAGTGCTGACGATGATGATGCTGCTGATGATGATGGTGAGTGTGATGATGTTGACGATAGTGAGCATGATGATGCTGATGATGATGGTGATGATGATACCGATGATGAACATGATGAGGAGGAAATTGATCCTATTGATTACGATGATGGGTATGACGATGGTGATGCTGGTGATTATGGTAGTGCTGCGGCTGCGTCTGTTGATGATGATCTTGAGAGGGCCTGACGGCTGATGCCGCCGACCCTGAAGCACATCACTGACCAGTAGGAGGAGAAGGAGGAGGACGAAGAGGAGGAAGAGGAGGAAGAGGAGGAGGAGGAGGTAAGGAAGACGAGGGGGAGGAAGGGTGGAGGAAGAGGAGGAGGAGGAACCTTTGCTGCTTTTCCTCCTTGTCCTCCTCCTCTCTCCTATTCCTCCTCCTCCAGTGGCCACCCCCGGATCCTTTGAAGAAGAATTTCCGACTCTTTGAACGAGAACGCGAAAGCACTCAAGATCAACGGGCGCAACTTCAACAACGTCGGCATTCAGCGGGTCATTGCGCGGCTCTCTAAAGTGAGGCTGCTCTGAGGCCGCCGGGGCCTGCTTGCGTAAGAGCCGGCGGGCGCCGACGCGGGCAGCGCCGCGCTGAGAGCAGACAAAGGGGGGGGAGGAGGGCGAGGGCGAGAGCGAGGACAACGAGGAGGACGACGACGAGGCGCGCGGGAGGGAAGGGCAGGGGGAGGAGGGGCGCGGGGCGGAAACATGGGGCGGGAAACGGGAGACGATGGCTTTTTAAGATCCCTCTTGGGCCTCCCCGGCGCTCCCTCTTCTCTTGGGTTCCGCGAAAGCCCCAATGAGCGCCCAATAGTAGCCTCGGATGGTTCCGAGAAGGCCCCAAGAGAGCACCCGGGAGGAAAGACGCAGGGAGAGGTGCGAGCGCGGTGCCGGGGGCAACCGCGGATAGCGCGGGCCCTGGGCCCCCCCCCGAAAGCGCCGCGGCGAGCGAGCTGGGAAACGCAGTTTCGCGGGCGATTGCGCCGGCCCCCAATTTGTCCGTTTCGCCCCCGCCGCGCGCAGGAGGGGCGAGCTCGGGGGGGCAGCTTCCCGGCCATGATAAATCGCCCCCCGAGCTGCCCGCTTCGCCCCCTTCATTGGCGAGAGGATCTGGGTCACCCTGAAACTGGGCCGGCGGCAGGGGCGCGCCAGCCCGCCAAACTGCACGAGACTCAGGCCCCCATCGGGCGCCCCCTTTTGTCGGGATGGGCAGGCGCGCCCCGAAACCTTAACGGGGCGCCCCCTTTGGCCCCCCGCAGTCTCCTCGAGGCCCCCGCCCCGCGAGCCGCTGCCTGCCAGCCAAGCGCGGGCGAGCGGAACTCCGCGCGAAATTCGCAGGGCCCAGCAGCGCACCCCATGGCCCTGGGATTACAGACGATGGCGATGACCACCGAGACAACGCTTGCAGTTTGGGCTTCTTCTTTGCCCTCTCAGGAACTGTGCCTGGGTTTGGGTCGGGCGGCTGCGTCGTTGCGGTCGCCGCCCCGTCGCCGCCTCGTCGCCGCGCGTCGTCTGGGCTTGGGTTTCGGCGTGGCGCCTGCGTCGTTGCCGCCGCCGCCCCGTCTCCGCCTCGTCGCCGCCGGCGCAGATTGCGCCGCGTCGACTTGCCCGCCCGCGGGTTGCACCGCGTCGGTTACACCGCATAGCTCGCGCCGCGTAGATTGCACCGCGAAGATTGCACCGCGCGACTTGCGCCGCATGAAATGCACCGCGCAACGGGTGCCGCGGAGATCGGACCGCGCGGATTGCGCAACGTGAGCTGCGCCACATAAATTGCGCCACATAAATTGCACCACGTAGCATGCGCCGCATAGTTTGCATCGCGTAGTTCGCACCACGTGAATTCTCTTTCCTAAGAAGAAAATAGACTCTACCCCCCCCCGGCGTTGTCGCCCCCCTTTTCGGGTGTGTGAATCATGTATGCTTCTGACCACATGTCCATCCTAAATATGAATGTACATAATCTCCGGGGAACCATGCAGGAATCGGCCCCCCTGGGGCCCCCTTGTGAAAAACCTTCCGCGGGGACGTCGTTCGTTCTAACATGGGACTTTCTCACGAGCCCCTTGCAACAACCAACAAAAACAGGACGAAGTGCACGCGCGCGCGTCGTCGCGCGCGCATGGCCCGCCGCATGGCGAAATCCACCAACAACTTTCGGTGCCGGAAGGATTTCGCAATCGAGGTTTCAAAGAAAAACATACACGCACGCAGGGTTTCGCAACACCGATTTGCTAAAAAAGCTTACGCGCGAGCTCTTGCGAAATCTCAAAACAAACCATAGGTTTCAAGATTTTCACACACTGCTACAAAACGGGCTTCGCGCGCGCATGTCGAAATCTGTCGAACGCCCTTGCGCGTGTGCCGTCGCGAGGATCCTCTGCAAAAAATGAGACGAAGTGCAGACGCGCGCGTCGTCGCACGCGTATGCCGAAATCCTTCAAAACCCGTCGGCCTCGGAAGGATTTCAAAACCGTGTGTCCCCCAAAAATTTACAGACACACCAGGTTTCGCAACGCGGATTTTCCACAAAAGCGCGCGCGCTCGCTCTTGCGTCGTCGTCGCCATCGTCGTCGCCGTCCTCCCTCCTCCCGCGTCGTCGTCGTCGTCGCCTACGTCGTCCTGTGTCTTTCCTCGTTTTCGTCGTCGTCGTCTTCTTTGGCGTCATGGTCGTTTCCGTCGTCGTTGTCGCCGTGGTTGTCCTTCCTCCTCTTCCCTCGTCGTCGTCGTCGTCCGTCGTCGGCGTCTCGTCGTCGTCCCTCATAGTTCGTCGCCGTCGTCGTCGTCGTCGTTGTCGTCGTCGTATTCCCTCCTCCCTCGTCGTTGTCGTCGTCGGCGTCGCCGTCCTTCCTCCTTCTTCGTCGTTCGCGTCGTCGCCGCCCTCCCTCCTCCCTCGTCGTCGTCGTCGTCGTTGTCGCCGTCGTCGTCCTCCCTCCTCCCTCGTCGTCGTCTTCGTTGGCGACGTCGTCGTCGTTTTCGTCGTCGGCGTCGGCGTCGTCGTCGTCGTCGTCGACGTCGCCGACTTGCACTGAAGTGCCTGCTGGGATGTGACGAGCGGTCTGCGCCACCGCGTCCACGTGCGTCGCGCCAAATTAGCTGGCCGCTGCGCGCGCGAACATGCGCGGGCAAGCGCGGCCGCAGACATGCGCCAGCCAACGCCAAGCACTCATCGCAATCGCTTCCGCATGGGTTTGCAGACCAAGTTGCGGGTGGGTGTGTGGGATGATCGCGCGAGCAATGGAGTCGATAATTTCAAGTTCGGCAAGGTGGATCCTCCTTTTTCGATAACTTCAAATTCGTTCAATAACTTCAAGTTCGGAATAGACTCTACCCCCCTCCCAGCGTTATCGGTCCCCCTTTCGGGTATGTAAATCATTTTCGATTGGGACCACATGTCCATCCTAAATATGAACTCGCACTATCCCAGAGGGGGCCGTATCGGCCCCCTTGAGGCTCCCTAGTTTGAAAACGATACGCGGGGACATCATTTGTTCTAGCATAAGACTTTTCCGCGAATCCCTTGCAAAAAACAAAAAAAAAAAACGGGACGAAGTGCGCGCGCGCGCGTCGCCGCGCGCGCGCATGCCGGAATCCTTCAAAAGCCTTCGGTTTTGGAAGGATGTCGCAATCGAGTTTCAATTGGCCTGGCGAAGGACCCAACCATATGCAGCTGCGAGTGCCGCGCGGATATGAGACGAAGGAGGGGGCACGCAAACTAGGCCCCTCTTCTGGTAGGCACCGCGCCACTGCATGGACGAGGCACAGGGCAGCGCGGGCAGGAGGTGGCGGGCGGAGGAGGAGAGCTCACTGGGGCGAGCCAACACATCAGTATCATCATCGCATCATGAGACCTGTTACTGGGCACGCAGGAAGAGGTGACGGAGACACCGTGTAGATGTCGAAGGCAGGTCAGCAGCGGCAGAAACGAGACGGGGAAGCGCGCGGTCAAGAAGCGATGGGAAGCAGGAGGAGCGAGAGACGAGGGGAGACGTTTTTGCCTCCAGACCGACAGCGAGCCACGCAGAATGCAGCGCGCAGGCGGCGCCGCGCGAAAGTGCCTGGGAAGTCCTCGCCGACGCGGTCTGGTCATCCCGAGGGAATCCCATCGACGCGCGGGGGTTGTCCACTGCGACTCTGAGTCAACGGACAGCACCCCCGCACTGCGTGGCGAGGCGTGCGAAGATGGCGCGACCTGGGTGAAATCCCCCGACAGGCGCCGGTCATCCTCTGGCGAGAGATCCCGACGACGAGCTGGGGTCATCCAAGCGTCAGCGACAACCAGCGCGCGCCGCTGGCTCGTGCGGGGCCGCCCCCCAGGTCAGGCCTCGCGGATGAACTCGCTGAAGCCCAGCTCTCTGGCGAGGGCCGTCGCCTCCCTCCTGCGCCGCTTCGTGCGCGCTGCAAACTGCTCCAGCTGCCTGCCAGGAAGAACTCGATGAGCGGCGCCCGCATGAGCAGGAGATCCTCGTGGCGCGTGGCGCGCGAGAGCAGCGCGTAGAGCTCCAGCCACCAGTCGTCGTCCTCCTTCTTGCCGTTCCCGACCTCGCGGCGGCCGCAGTCCAGGATCACGCCTTGGCCGCGGCCATTTGGGCCTTCGGTGGAGCTCCCCATGGGGCCACGAAACG